TGCAGGTCATCAGGGTTTAATTGATGATGCATCCATATTCTGGCCAATCAAATCTGTTTAACCGATTTACCCCACATCTCTTGAGCTAAATCCCCGGCCAAACCTATAAAATAGTTATATTTAGAAATGACTGACTTTTTGTGCAAAATAATGCTGACGAGTTTGTTTCTTGGTCAACAGCTGTGTAGAAAGCAAAAATACACCAACCCTCCCGGCCACAATAAGTCACAAATAACTTACATGTATGAAATATGCGCATTTGCTTGACCAGTTCAACTGTCCGAATATTGACCTTGTACTTATAATAAACATGTATAAACATGAAGCATATCGTCATGGTGCTATAAATGATGGTATGAGGGATGCTTTCTTTGATATATTATTACAAATGGTAGGCTGAGTTTTCGAGTGTCCCGATTTTATTGATTGAAAGACGTTTAAACTGTCGGTCAAAATAGGAAACCTTTTCGTTCTTATTCTTGTGTCTGTTTATCGCTATCATTTCACATGTATAAAATGACGCCTATTTGTTGTTTTTTTATCTTGATTTCGTTGGTACATTGGCCGTTTTTATAGATTTCTACTATACCTGCCCCTATATTTGATTGTGGTCCGTGTAATGTTTTACGAAGATTTCCTTCTAATCTATTGTTTTACATATTCTTGTATTAATCTGGAGGCGTATGGGATTTTCTTGCTATCTTGCGATCCTCGCCTATATTGCTATTTATTGGCAAGTTTTAGCCTTGGATTTTTGTACGCGCCCGATATTTAAGTGTGCATTTTTCTCGCTGATATCTAATTTCAGCCTATTTATTTATGGGCATACTTTTTCTTAATATCAATGTTTACACTATAAATTGAATATGATAATTATAACAGCTGAAAATATACTTTTACTGTGACTTTACATAGTGCAGCATCAAACATACCAATATAATACATTGATTGATATACATATATAACATATATGTGTCAATATTAATCTAAAATGTATAATGAACTTGCTTTGAATGTAATATGTAATGTGACATATGTTGGGCTTAATTTATTATATCCAATTTTCTTTTTCATATTATTGAATTAGATGTCAGAGAGTGGAGTGGAGTTTTGAACGTAGTTAAATATGCATACATATATGCACAACAGCTACATTATTATTATCATTAGTATCATTATTATTATTATTATTAATTATTATTATTATTATTATTATTATTATTATTATTATTATTATTATTACTACGTGTCGCCTTTTATACATTGAAAACTACTATCATAATTATATGATTTATTGTATATCCTTAGCAGGATAATTTTTGTTAATTTGAAAACAGACATGCCTTTTAACTCGATCAAATGGTCATTAAACAAATAATCGTACAAAACGACTCAAATTTAGTAAAAAGGAACAAGAATAATCATATGATATTGATGAAAAGAATAAAAACAGCATTTTGGACTGGGTTCTTGCATTGATAAGATAAAAAACATATACTTCAATATTTTTCCATAATCATTGTGGAGAAAAAGCAAACTTATGCAAGCAAAACGGGTGATATGTTTGTAATTTGTGGAGAAACCAACGGTCAACGATTTTTAGATATGGTTTTGACGTTATAAAAATGCTGTCCGGTTGAAAATGTATAAAAATCTTTGATTACACAAACACGCAAGTTTCATTTATTTTGTTTAACTTAATTGAAAATTTTGACCAAATCAAAATATAGTAGACACTGCATAATGTCAACATATTATATACTTAAATAAAAATTAAAATAATCTGTATTTTCCTCCAAATTCAGTTAGATCAATGTCTTAATGTTGATACTAGCTGCGGTATAATGCTGGTTATTTTAATATAAAAGGTTTCTTTTTCGTATGAACAGTAATTACACCTCACCAGGAAGTTTAGTCATTTGACCATCAAGTCATATGTAAGGAAAAAAGGAAAATTTGTATATATTATGGACAATAATAAAGATTTTGTTTATAAGCTTTATAGGGTTATAGAACAACATTTAATGAATTATTTTCTATAAAAAATATCAATTTTTCTTGCATGGGGTATTCACTTAAAATGCATATTACTACCATATTTCTTCGTGATAAGCATTTTGGTATCGTTCTTTTTTTTTTTAAATCCAAATGATAATAGGTAAAAAGGCTTTAGTACTGTGGTTTGCTGTATTTTTTATTCTTTCGGAGTGCTTTTCGTAAAATTATTATATTTTCTTGATTATGTTAGGAAAAGTTTGTTATTTTTTTTAAATTCAGAAATACGTAAATTATAAATAAGCCAGACCGCTGACAAGTTTAATTTACGACTCTGACACATTTATGTTTATTTACGTCACATGTATGACAAGTTGATTATTATCATTAATTTTATCTTAGACATTTAATCTGATTATCTGTTTGACTTTAAGAAAGGAGTTAAACGACCGCTGACTTTTGACATGAGGGGTGGTAATCATTCCCAAACGAAATTAAAGTGATACGCAATATCAACATGCTGAGAACATTTAGTTACTTATTATGCCAAGGACATGAATAACAATTTCAGGAAACCCGGACGCAAAACAAGCAGACACAACCTTTAAACAAGATAAAGATTTTAAAATACAATTAGAAGAATTGCGGGAAATTAAATTCAATAAACGATACGGAAATAGATAAGTCAAAGTGCAAGACTATGCCGGATATTTTCAGTCGAAATTCATGAAGAGATGTAGCGGTGAAAGAAAAAAAAAATAATTACAGAACATTTTGTTATATGAATTCACATGTTTTAAATCTCAGATACTTAATATCAATATTTTCTGAAAAGTATGTTTGCCTAAAATTGGGATTTATTTGATTGATAATGTTGTCATAGGATTTATTTCTTTTGAAAATAGATGTTAGAACGGTCATTCCTATTTTTGCTTACGAGGTAACTGCTATTTTGAACGTCATCACTATAGATTAGATTTTTGTATGTTAATTTCTGTTAGTGAATTGAGCGTATGTGAACTCTTTAAGTCTGATCTATAGTTACTGAATAGGTGTATAAACCATGGATACATGGATGTCTTAACTTGTAATGTAACTTGCTTGTGTTGAAGTTACTTTAGTAGGTTGTCTGTCTTCATCATGATTTAATTTAAATTTGAGTACGGATTCCATCTCTTCTTGCAGTCATCAAAACTATAACATGCAATGTCCTACTATTACTCTCCTTCCTCCTTTACCTCTATTTCTTCTGACCTCTTTTTTCTTCACTTTAGTCTCACATTATGTTACCCGGCATCATATTACTCATGATACTGCACGTTTACCTACCTATGAAATCAACCTTATGTCCATGATGGTTATACAATTTTATCTGGTACAATCATCATCAATTACATAAATAAAATACACTAAGTAAGACGACCATCATGGACACATATAGATACTCCGGACTGCTGCCAATATTTACTCATTCTTTAATATTGTTGAATATCTACTCATCCCATGTGATGTTAATATCTTTGTATATAGATATATGCACAGCCATGAATAAGCAAAAATGATAATTCATCCCAAAAGGAAATATGTCATAAATCAGACAAAAATCCATATTAACATGGTTTTTACCTATTTCTTGTTTCAAAATTTTATCAGGAGTATTTTGTGTACGTGGTTTTATTTATTATTACTTCTGGCGGGAGATATACATGAACACCCAGGGCCTGAATCTACAAGCTCATCTTATACTGATACAACATTTAGCATATCACATCACTTATCATTTGTCCACCTAAATGTACAAAGCATACGACATAAACTTGACATTCTTTATTCCGAACTTGTTGACTTTGATATTCTTGCCTTCTCTGAAACATGGCTGAACAATACAATATCGTCTGATGATCTTAAACTCTTATCTTACAATACTCCTGAACGAAAAGATCGGATTGATGATTCTCATGGCGGAGTTATCCTCTATGTTCGAGAAAATCTGCATTATAAGAGACATTACAACTTAGAACTTAATAACTTGGAGTGTATCTGGATTGAATTGATTCCTGAAAATAACAAACATGTACTTTTTGGTCTATTTTATCGACATCCTAATGCCGATGCAAATTACAGTAATAAGGTTGAAGACTCAATCGCTCTTGCTATCGATACAAATATTTCTGACATTATCCTTACATGTGACCTCAATTATGACGCATTAACCATAACTTCAAACAGAAAAATCAACTCAATTACACAACAATTTAATATGAGTCAACTTATTGACGAACCTACTCACTTTACCGAAACATCACAATCATTAATAGATCTCATATTTGTAACTTATATAAATAACATCGTAAAAGCTGGTGTTGGTGAACACTTTCTCAACCAAGAACATCGATTCCATCTCCCAGTTTTTTGTCTTCTTAAATTTAGAAAACCCTCTCAACGTGGATTTCAACGAACTATATGGGAATACAATCGAGGTGACTTTGATAAACGACAAGATCTACTAAATTATAACTGGCATACATGCACTCACGCAGATATTGACACATATGTGGACAATATAACAAATCAGATCATAAATATTGCAAAAAAAATATACCAAATAAACAAATACATGTAAGACCATCAGATGCTCCATGGATGACTAGTACAGTAAGAAGCCACATTAGAAAACAAAAACGCATTTACAGAAAAGCAAAACAAACACAGTCTTTACATCATTGGCAAAAATTCCGACAACTTAGAAATGAAACTATTTTATCAATTCGCGAAGCTAAATCAAATTATTATTGCAAATTATCGGATAAACTCAAAAGAGGATCATTATCGTCTAAAGACTGGTGGAAAACGTTAAAATCATTTATATCATCACAACAAATAACACCAATTCCCCCATTACAAAATCCAGAAACACTCGAACTAAACTTTACAGATGAAAACAAAGCAAATTTATTAAAACGACTATTTTATTAAACAAACACTCATTGAAGATTCAAATAAGCATGTACCTGATCTTGGCTCCATCAATGACAACAACTTCACTATCTGAAATTACACTATCTGAAACTGAAACAGAAAATGTCCTAAGATCATTAAAATTTGAAAAAGCATCCGGTCCTGATGGTATCAGTAATAGAATTCTACGCGAAGCGTCACATGAACTCTCTCAACCTCTTTGTGATTTGTTTAATGCCTCACTTCTTCGTCGTAAAGTACCATCGACATGGAAAGTAGGCTCATGTATCTGCAATTTTTAAAAAAGGTGACTCCTCTCTTCCAAATAATTACCGCCCTATCTCTCTTCTTAATACAATGGAAAAAGTTTTTGAGCGGCTAATATTCAAAACATCTTTTCAACCATCTCCAAGCTAACAACTTTCTTACTCCTGTTCAATCTGGCTTTATTCCTGGCGACTCTACTGTTAATCAACTTGTTTTTTATCTATGATACACTGTGCAAAGCACTTGACAATGGTCAAGAAGTTCGGGTTATTTTCTTTGATATCAGTAAAGCATTCGATAAAGTCTGGCATAAAGGTTTACTTTCAAAACTCAAATATGCAGGTGTTTCGGCAGCCTCCTCGAATGGTTTTACTAACTATCTCACTAATAGGCGTCAACGTGTAGTTTATATCTAATTCAAAATCATCTTGGGGTACTCTTTCAGCTGGAGTACCACAAGGTTCTATTCTTGGCCCTCTGCTATTCCTTATTTTCATAAAATGATATTGTTCTAGATCTCCAATCATCTGTCAACATTTTTTGCTGATGATACAAGTCTCTATATTATTATAGAAAATCCACTAGTCGCAGCTCAACAGTTACAAACAGATATACAGACAATCACAAGTCATTATGGGCAGACAAGTGGCTTGTCACATTCAACCCATCAAAGTCAGAATCACTCATTGTATCTAGGAAACAAAACGCAAACCACCCTTCTTTATATATGCTCAATCAAAAAATATACCAGAAGTTAACAATCATAAACACCTAGGAATTATTCTCTCTATTAACTGTAATTTGGCATTCACACATTGAATATATAACCGAAAAGGGCTTGGAAGCGCGTCAATATAATGCGAAGTTGAAATATTCTTTGGACAGAAAATCTCTTGAGATAATTTACACTTCATTCATTCGTCCTATTCTTGAATTACGCAGACGTCATTTGGGGAAATGCTTTTCAATATGAACTCGAAAGCTTAGATAAGATTCAGAATGAATGTGCTAGGATCGCTTTCAGGTGCGACAAGATTATTTCTATCGAATACCTTATTCAAGAACTTAATTGGGAAACATTAGAACAAAGACGGTATAATCACAGATTAATTCTGTTTTATAAAATGCATAACAATTTGACTCCGACTTTCTCTCTTCCTTAATTCCTGATCAAACTAATTACAAGGTATAATTTACGTAACTCTGATAATACTGCTGGAATATATGCGCGATCTTCTTTATACTACAACTCCTTTCTTCCCTCTACTATACGCGATTGGAACAACTTACCAACCGAAGTTCGGAACTTACCAACACTTTCAAGAACTTCTTAACACGTAACAGGAAACGCACACCAAAATACTACTATTCTGGTAACAGAAAATTACAGGTTCTCCATACACGTCTTCGCACAAAATGCAGATCTTTAAATTATCATCTTTTTCTAAGAAACATATCACCCTCACCTTTATGTGAATGTGGTCAAGTCGAAAGCAACTATCACTTCTTCTTTGAATGTTATCGCTACAACTTGTACCGAAATGAATTATTTACTAATATTCAAGCTTTTGATATCAATCTCGATATTCTTCTCTTTGGAAACCCTGGCCTATCAGATGATGATAATTCAACCATATTCTCTAACGTGCAGTCTTTTATAGCAAAAACTAAAAGATTCCTTTAACGATTTAACACATAACAAATAATTATGAGACTCTCTTTCACCTTTTTCTCTTTTGAATTACTACTTCTTTCATACTCCATATATATTTGTTTCTATTATACGTTTGGTAATATATATTTTTCTCAGAAAATTTTACATCACCAGTTCGACACCGATATATTTAACAACTAAACGGAGAAGAATTCTATAAGACCTAGTCTTTCGTTCTAATCCTGAATATTGTCAAATTTTGTATGTGTATATATTTCAAATGTTATTATGTAAATATTCTGAGAATAAATATGTTTAAACTAATTTAAATTTGCATTTTGATATTTATACTTATAGACTATAATGTCTGGATTTTTTATACTGGTATTTCAAAATAGCTTATATTATGTCTTATTACATGCTGAGCTATAGCTATGTTCAAATGGATTCTACTAGATCTATTAATAAATAGAAATTTGTGAGTTCATAAATAGAAAATTGCATAATGACCTTTACAGATGCTATATTGAATGAAAAAGTGAGAACTTGGATTTCCAAGAGATAACATTGTGGCTATCCACTAGAAATATTTGTTGCTGTTTTTATTTTTTTTTGTTAACTCGGGCTAGCCTGTGCATATTAACCTGTGCATATTGATCGTGGTTTTCCACTAAGAATGTAACATTAATTCATAAAATGAAACATTTTGTTGAGTTTCGTTCCAACTCAAGTGGGACTCTTGTAAGCGCGTAATAAGTTTTGGGATCACTTATATTGTTTTAATATTCACTTTATGGAATAGAGTAAAAATAGAGGGATAGGTGATGTTATGCTGTACATTTTTCATATGATTCTTTCGGTGCTTTTCGTAAAATTATTATATTTTCTTAATTATGTTAGGAAAAGTTTGTTAATTTTTGAAATTCAGAAAGACGTATTATATACTAAATTATCAATTAGCCAAACCGCTGACATGTTTATTGCAATTTACGAGCCTCGCACATTTATGTTAATTGCGTCACATGTATGACAATATGATTATTATCATTAATTTTATCTTAGACATTTATTTATAGTTTTCTTATCTGATTATCTGTTTGACTTAAAGAAAGGAATTAAAAGACCGCTGACTTTTGACATCTGGGGTGTTAATCATTCTTAATCGAACCATTTTGATTGGTCAAATCGATAATTTGATAATGCATTTTCATTGGTTAATAATTATGCCCACCTTCGAAGAGGAGGGGGTACATTGTTTTGCTAATGTCTGTCTGTCTGTCCGTCGGTCTGTCGGTCTGTCTGTCCGTCGGTAGTCCATATGGTTTCCGCTGATTATCTTGACAACTATTTATCACAAAGTCTTCATATTTCATATAATGATTGGTCAGATATAGTAGATGACCCCAAGAGATTTTGGGTTCACTAGACTAAAGGTCAAGGTCACAGGGACTTTCAATGGTAATATGATTTTCAATTATTATCTTGGTTACTATTTAACAAAAAGTTTTCATATTCAGATATAGCTTGGTCATTGTTATTAAATGACCCCTATTGATTTTGGGTCACCAGGTCAAAAGTCAAGGTCACAGGGTCTTTGAATGGTACTATGACTGCAGCTCATTATCTTGAAAGATAATTATGACAAAGTCTTCATATTTTATTGTGATTGGTCATAACCAACAGATGATCTGTATTGCTTTTGGGGTCACTAGATCAAAGGTCAAGGTTTCAGGAACCTTGAATGTCAGAATGGTTTCCGCTGATTATCTTGAAAACTATTTATCACAAAGTCTTCATATTTCACATACTGATTGGTCGTTACTAGTAAGTGACCCCTATTGATGTTTGGGTCACTAGGTCAAAGGTCAAGGTCAGAGTTTCTTGAAAGTTATTATGGTTTCCGCTCATTATCTTTAAAGTTATTATCACAAAGTCTTCATATTTCTTATATTGATTGGTCATAACTATAAGATGACCCCTATTGATTTTGGGTCTCAAATTCAAAGGTCTAGGTCACAGGGGCCTTAAATGTTTCATTATCTTGAAAACTATTTATCACAAAATCTTCATTATTTGTCTTTTTTTCTATAATTGAACACTTCCATGTACCCATTTGTGTCAAATATCTCTTACAAAATTACCAATAATGTGAGTCAAGGGCTATGTGTCGTTCGACATTTCTTGTTTCGTGTTTAATGGTCATTTATTTTCATTGGTTCATTACTGAACCTTGGTTACAATTATTTTTGTATTGATAAAATAGAAAAGAACTTTTTAGAAGAACGATTCAGACTGTCAGAGACACTTAACATGTATATTTAGTTGTTAAGTTTTAGACGATAGTGCCGCAGTTTTCTGTGGTAAATTTTGATATAAATATAATTGTATATTTCAAACGGTTGAAATTGTTGTTATAAAGTAGAAGAAAAATGTATTATAAAAACAGAAAAAATGGACTTACTGAGTTTGAAATAAAGTTATTATACGTAAACGGAGTAATTATACAACGCAGGAAATTATAACACAGACCGTCGAAAGAATATTATGGAGATTATACCTCCCCTCGTCCCCACCCAACCCGAAGAACCCACACACTTAACCGTGTGTAAAAAATATAGTATAAACTGCTCACCATCAAGTGCTCCAGAAACTAGAGTTTAAGCAAAATACAATACAAATAACACATGTTAAAGAAACGTAAGTATATTTTTAAAATTACATTTGTATGAATATTGAAGAATCATTTATCATAATACAAATTTCAAGATTGTATTCAATAGATACGAATCTGGAGGCGCGACGCTTTAAAGTGACATGTAATTAAAGCACCTAATTCCATCCGATAATCACGCACCGCTCAGTTTTTTTTACTGTACAAGTAGCTCAAAGAAGCTTGAATTAATGTGTTAATCTGTTTGTCAACACATACCCGAAGTTATGTGAATGATATTTATTATATGCATTTGACATGAATTTTATTCAACGTAGTGCATATATAGATTATAAACTATGTTTGAATATAATAAACGATACGATCGCTTCTGTTATGTTTTTGAAACAGTGTGCTGTCCAATATGAATGTAGTCTTATTTCTTGATCGATCACTGTTGCATCGTTTATTGCAAATTTACAATGTACTACAATACAATTTGTACATTAATGATATAACGCCTTTTTGTATATAATAACCCCACTAAAAGATCGCAGCTTATTATGTTAATACCAATAGATTAACGGACAGAATAACAGTTATATGCTGTCCCAGAATTTGTGATATGCTTTGCTTGGTGTCAATATGACGTGAAAAAGTGTAGTTTTTCTTTCTAGATTACTGTCGTGATAAATATCAACAGTAATTTTCTGGTGTCACATTTGCAGTTAATAAAATCATTCTCATCTTAATTATATTTTCATTTACTGAAGGACTTAAAACGAATCAAAATCTGACATTTAGTCTTGTCACTCATATTACTTAAGTTTAACGTTTTATCAACCATATGTTCGTTTGGTATTTGATTTAATGGCTTATTGTTATAATGCATAATTATGTTCATGGTGTATAAAAAAGCTGACTATGATTGAAATACCATACAGATCATCCCAGTTTTATCTTATAAAGCGCTATCCTTGTTGATCTTGTTTTTCGTATTTAATACACATTTGGCAACATGTCTTTAGTTTTAAATTGCTTATGAAACATATTTTAATCAACCACCACCGCTCCTGTAAAATGTTAAACAATATTTCAGTATCATGAATATCTATCATTTAGAACGTGTGGTCTCAGTAGGCAACGTGTACTCATTGGAGGAGCTAAAAATCATATGTGCTTTGACAATTTACTACAGCCAGATTTTTTTACACCGATAGGTAATTTGTTGTATTATAAACATCATTCCATAATATTCATTGATGAAATTTAAAAAAAATGTTTATTAAAAAGAGCTGTAAAATGTTCAGTGGCATTTCTAACCGATCTTTTAATTCAATTTAATTGAGAAATAGAAATTTGGGTAAATATTCTCCGTCGTCCTAAGGGAGCGTGCTTGATATTTTCGACCAAAAGTTAAGTGTAAGGATTTGAATGAATGAATGAATGAATGAATGAATTTTGTTCATTAATTAATTCATTGTTTTAATTTACAATTCACCAACTAGTTGTTAAATCTAGTCAATAAATTGTCATTATTAGTTAATAAGCCTGAAAGGTCTCTGGCCAGAATATGTATTTTGATATGTATTTAAAAGACAAGAGTTGGTTTACAGAATTTGTTGGATCCAAACTTGGTATGAAATAATTCACCGTAAAATAGTATTATACAACGTATAAGATCAAAATAGGCAACGTTGGTATGCTGCGTGTATCTAGAAAATTAGAAGTTTATAATGAAATTAGAAATGATTTTTTGTTATGAAAAATTTCTTAGTATTATATATATTAGATACAATGTTCAGCTTATCTATAGATAAGCTATAGAGGAAAGTCGCTTTAAAAATATTAATAACCTTAATGACTTCTTCTTCACTTATCATTAAACAAATGAAACAGCTTTCTGTTAAGAATTTTCTCTCCTTTTTTGTTCTCAAATAATATCAATTTGAAAACAAGAATGCATTTGTGAAAAATGCTATGCCACCGCATTAATATAACAATAGTAAACCTTTTAGTTACTATACAATAAAACTGTTTGTAGGAATTGGGATGTGTAATGATCATTCAGTTTTTGTTTTATTTCTGGAATTGCAAATACATGTATATATTTATATATTTATATATTGTAGGTGTAATCAATGAAGACGAAAGTGATATCATTAAAAGTAACAAGGAAATTGTAATGATATTGTTGGACTGTATCAGGGAAGGGATGAAAGATAAAATGCGAGAATGTAGAGGATGGTCCTGTCATGAATCTGTTTTCAGTAAGTTCGTTTATAATCGAAGTAAAATTTTAGTACACAATCGAATTCTTTCGTATCTTTGTGACTCATCCAGAGGAGCGGTATTTCGGTTTCATGAGGACTTTTTAACAATAAAAATAGATAAAAAAGTCCGAGAAAACGTAAAATGTTGTTTATTGAGGATATCGGATTAAGTGGAGATCCTGATATCCGTAATTGCACTGTAGTGCTTGGTGATTATGTTGAGTACATAAAGAAAAAAATAGGCATTTTTCCAAATGTAAACTATTATTGACGATTGACGATATTTTAAGTTGATTTGCTTAAACAGTTGGAATAAGACTAAAACTTTACTTTCATTTTCAGTCCATAGAAGCATTAAATCGTGTGTATGTGTGTGTGTGTGTGTGTGTGTGCGTGTGTGCGTGTGCGTGTGCGTGTGTGTGTGTGTGTGTGCGTGCGTATGCGTTTGTCGTGCAAGTGTGTGTGTGTGTGTGTTGACCAGTTTGCCTAACATTGGTGAATATTTTTTTTTTGGTGTGCGCGCGCGTGTGTACGTGCGTGTGTGTGTGCGCGTGTGGTCAAGCAAGCTATATGGAGAGTTTTTCTGCAATATTAAGATGGAGGCTTAGTTTTTATTTTCACCCTTATTAACTATTAAATATTGCATTAAAGCTCTCTGCCAATTCAGCACAAACCAGATAGTGCATGGCAAGTTAAATTCGGGTGAGGCCATTACGATGAAATTTTCCGATTAACAAGGCTGACTGGCATGTAAAATTTATCAAGAAATCATCTTAGTTTCTTAAAAAGAGATTCCTGAATTTAAAAACGAAAAACGTGTTTTTACTTAATTTATGAAACAGATATTAAAATACCTGTGAAAGTCATTTCCTTCATATTACTTTCAACCTCCAAAACTTTAATATTTTGGGCCTGTTAAACATAATTGGACTATTAAATATGACCAACTACTATTCCCAATCCCTTGTGGTTTTCAACTAAATGATTCTTTTACTGTAAAGGTATAATAAAGAGAAAAGTACTGTAGCATATGTTGAAACAGAATTATTTGAAAATTATGTATAGTTTTAGTAAACAATTTTGAAGGGAAAAATGAAAGTGATATGGGGAAGATGTTCTAGACAGGACACGGAGGAAAGCTGCTTAATTTCTTTAACGTGTAGTTTAACTGAAAGTAAAACAAACACTGCAAATAACATGAATAAATACACTTGTAATTGGTCCATATACTTTTTTATACCAGTTGTCAAGTTACTGACAAGAAATGACACTAATACAAAGACCTTGGTAGATCTTGGAGTCCTGGAATTACTTGTTGAGATGGCCAGAACTGGCGATGAAGGCGAACAGTATGGTAAGTTTTGTTATAGGTAGAAAAGAATGGTTAAGATTTTGAAAAAATTGAAATCACTTGTATTTAGTGTAATACATCTGACTCTCGAAATGCCGAACTTGACGAGACCTTGGAAAAAATCAAGTAAACGAAATGTTGAGATAACATATTTAAGCCATAGTTAAGATTTGGCTCAGACAGAAACTGTACATGACTTGCCTTTCACTGCTGTAGGTTTGAGCTGCCTCACATTCGGAATCCTCGTGTGGTGTGATAAAGCTATCCAGCCTACTTACGGAACATCAGAGACATCAGACAAACAAAAAACAAACAAAAAAAAAAACAAACAAACAAAACAAAAAAAAAAAAGAACAAAACAATAACGCCTCAACTTCAATAATTACACAGATAATGACTTTTTTTACATTTTTTCATAATATATTGCTATCTTTTTAATTAAGAATGCCTCTGATGACTTTTATAGAGAGTGTTTCTGCGCTATGGGCGTTGTGTTTTGACGAAGATAACCAGTTACTCATCACAGGAAAACCGGAGCTTGGGGTTGTTGATGTTCTCGTTGATTTGAAATCGTCGAAAAATGAGAAAATAAAGAACGCATGCAACGGTGCATTGTGGACACTTAGAGATGCATTAAAGAAAACAGTTGTTGAAAACTACAAGAAAATAGGTAAGGTCATGTATTTATGTTTTGCAGTTATATATATTAATACTGCCAAGTTAATAGTAAAAACTATGCCAAGAGGTTGATTACATTATCCGTATATGAAAGCAAAATCTTAAATGATATTAATGAATGGGTGACAGTTTTTAGGCAATCAAAAGTTGCTGAAAGCCCCTTTCTCAGGTTTGATAAAAAAAACAAAAGAACTTAAAGACTCATTAAGCTTAAATAATTGAAACATTTTCAATTTTCAAAATCATGATGTCCTGTAACAGTTTTTTAAATGTCACTATTTGACCAAACAGCTTAGCCACCCTTTTCTTCCTTTCGGTTTTTGCGAATGATAAAAATATCGAATATTTTGTATGGAAGACGAAAAGACCACTTTGTTTAAATTTTGCTCTCTTCATCAAATGTATTTCAAATTCCATACTAAAATATTCAGAAGATTAACATCTGAAATATTCTAAATCAATGATTACAGCATAGTAAAACACAATTTGCACTTTCTACAGAAAAGAAAAAAATATTTCTGAGTTTCAATTTGCCTTAAAAGATATCCTACTCTTGACCGTATTAATTACTGATAAGCCCGAGTATAAGAAAACATTACAAAGCTATCTCCAAGCTGAAACTATCCTTTCATAATTTTCATTGAGTTAATTAAAATTAAATGCAATTTGAATCGTTTTATGTCTTTAGGTATCAAGTGTTAATAACCGAATGAAAAACAAGATAAAAAACCCAAGGAAAAAAGAAAACCAAAGCAAAAATCCCCAAAAAACTACTTTTGTATTTTTAAAATGTTGAATTAATTTATAAAAGAAAACGGTTTCATAATTAAGGCTTTAATTCTTAAACAGAAGGTTACATATTTTATACAAACGTACATCTAGCATATGCTTTTTCAACATTTTACATTTAAGAAAAATCACAGCCCAGCAATTAGTGTAGGAAAAATATACAGATTTGGATATATAAGGATGGAAAAAAGTGATATTCAACCAAATTAAATATGATTAAGCAAACAAGATCAGATAACATTCATTGCAATATCATATTTACAAGAAATTACTTCAAAAAGCAACAAGATAGGCAAGAAATTTAATAACTTGTACAAAAAGGTTAAATGCGAAATATAAGTAGTGGTTATCCCTGGAATTACTAGTATATTAAAACATATTTTAAAACCATGCTGAAATCCCCAGATAAACTGTATGTGGTATGCCTTAGAAATAAATGGTTTATGTTTTGCCAAAAGAGAGAGGCATAACTAAATGAAAAGGGCACAAAAACCATAACAATCATATGACTGGTGAGATGTTTATATCGTAAGTATTTAAATAAGAAAACATATGAATCTTTTATGAAAAAGAAAAATGGCATTGTTTACTGTTCGATTTAATATGTACATTTGTTAATCAACATAACTTTCAGACATTGCTTTGTTATTTATTAATCATATTTTTATGAAAGAAGCTATTTTTAGGTTATATTCTTATCGGAATAAGTTTAAGCCATATATGAATCAATATTTTAACAATTGATCAATGTTTTAAACATGTATCTTAAGGATAAATATTTGCTGATGAATAATCCAAGTTTCAATTTTACTGGTACAAGTAAGTAACACAATTTTGATATATGTTATAAATATACATACAAGTATTTCTAGGACTAATAAAAGTGTAATTTGTAAAATGAATATAAAACTATTTCATATTTAGTCCTGGTTTACAGGTAGAAAATGTTTTTTTTAATTCGGAATGAGTACAACAGTTGTCCAATTGAGTCTCGAAATGCACTTTATTCTTTCTCTTTTAGTTGATTCTGTATAAGGTTCACCATTATAATGGTACATTAGTTGGAGAGAGTTGTCCAGGAAAACATTGAAAGATTTTTTATGGTTGCTGCAAGTCCCCTGTGACTACCTTATAGTTATAAATATCTTCTTTTAGAGAAAGCCTTGCAGAAATCTTAATACTAGTATCTGTAGATCTGATTTATTTAAAAGATAAAATGGTGTTATTTGATTGTAATAAACAGAATTGTTAGTAAACAGCCACCGGGATAGTGGCAAACTTCACTACCATTTATACTTGCCTTAAACACTTAAAAATCATTTCATACGATAGATTTAATGTTAATTATAAATAATTGACTTCATTTGAAGCTATTTTAATTTTTTTTCTTATCAAAAATTGTATTTTAAAAAAATTGTCCGGGCGGTAATTCATGTATTCTGCCCGGAATTAAGCTTTCCGGGTGGAATTGTTTAAATTCCAATTGGAATTTTTTCCAATATTATTATTTATTCCAACGGGAATTTCAATTTTTCCAGCAACGCTTAAACTATAAAAAATAACCATTCATACATCCTTTAATGACTTTCTGACTAGTTTTGAAGAACTCATTTCTCTAAAATAAAAAAATCCCATTTTGAAAGCTGGAAAAAATTCCGACTGGATTTTTACAGAAAAAATTTTAATAAGTATAAAAAGCGATA